ATGTCCTTTTCATAAAAACAGTGCAACCAAGGCACATTTTCCCAAAGCAACCTATCAGAAGCAGAGGAGAGCTGCCACATGAGAGGGTATTTCAGGTAACCCCCGGAGCTTTGGGAGCCTTGTCCCAAAAGTACAAACATGGACCAACTAAAGAAGTCTAATAATCGGGGTAGAAGAGCCAGGAGCCGTGATATATGGCTGTTTGTGGTTATAATTTCCGGATTTGGGTTCGCGTCCATTGGCTGTTGTAGTTTGCAGTGGATAGATTCGGCGGGTTGTCGGCTAACCCCAGCGCATTATCACCCACCAGCACTATGCATATATAGAGAGAGAAAGGTTTGGGTACCACATGACAACCCAGCCTCTTCACCCGAGACGATCCCGCCTTATTGCTGTTCCCATTCAAGTTGGCGCATCTAGGTCGGCAACCAAATTGCCGTCGACACTTTTTACACCACTACTCGTAAATAATGATATAAAATACATAGCTGTGATGGGGTAGACTGGGGCGCCCAATTGGTACTAATTTTGTGCTAGAATTCGGAGATTTAGTTGGGCATTGTTCTCAAAACTGGAACATGATGCATATGGACAGATTACCCCATCGTGAAGATAGTATTAGTTTCTAATTTGGTGAATATAGGGGTGCTAGAGAACGTTTACAAATTTCGACTTGAATGGGAATAGCAATAGAGCCCTCAGGAAAGCCTATGATCTGGATTGGGGCCAATAACGAATATGATATCCGCATTATGGTTTATATACGGTTAGACTCGGATATTTACTTCAGGACTGTGCAGTTCTAGGTTTAGTATCTCAGCTAGGGGGTTCATGCACTTTGTGTCGAAATTCCTCTCGGGACTGACAAAGATACCAACCACATCCATTCTCTGCGACTCGATGAGAATAGGAGATTCAAGTATTGATCACTGTCAGTCTAAAACATCCACCGCTATTCAGGTACACAAGATGATTGAAGTTTGGTATAACGTTTGAACCAGATGATAACGAACCTTACTCTTCGATTCTTTACTTATACGGAGACCGGAAAGAAGTTGTAAAGCTTGATCAACAGAAGATTCCCTACCATTAGAGTACCAGGAATGACAAATCTCAGTACTGGTCAGCTCCCTTCTACCCTGTTGCAACAGGAGTAGGGTTTGGGCGTGTCGTCTGACCAACTACAGATGTTGTTAGAATGTTACACATACATCATATACTTGGAGCGTACTAGTACCGCCGCAGAGCGCCTTGGGATCGAATCCACCATCAAACATGCCAGGGCAATAGATCGCGGGACATAATAATCGAGGGGCCGTCGGGGCCCATTCACACACTGTTCCATTCCGACACCGATCATAATTGACAAGAAATATCTGGGTACAGAGGCAAGGTTTGAGATTGACAGAAGAGCTGGTTAGACATTCTTTGTACTGAATGTTAGCAGAAACACAAGCGTGGTTGACGCATTGAGCCACGACGGTAGTACTCGCGATCAGGAGAGTTAAAGTGTAGATGATGTTCTTGAAGATCATTTTATGGGACTCGAGGGCGAGGTGGTGAGCTGGGCAATCAGCTGGGCATTATATCGCAGTGTGCCCTTTCAGAGGACG